CAATGGTTAGATGAGGAAGTTGATTTCATGGACAAAACATTCGACACCACGTCAATCAGCATAGGCGGAAGTGGAACTCAACGCATGCGTTTAATGAAATGTGTCTTTATAGTTTGTTTTTCGTGACGAGATTTAGGAATTACGTGATCTTTTCGGGCGAATTAGTTGAACGACTAGTCTTGTATTGTATTTCAGATCGATAACTTGAAAAGCACGATACCACGCACGACAACTCTAGCCGCGAACCCCTAGCAGTACTTATCCAAAAATTTCACCATCCTCGCGTAGCGACGACCACTTCCATAAAAGAATGGTTTCACGGGGAATCGGCGTGCGGCCTGTTTTAAACGTAAGCATTCCTCTCTGATTTCGGTCCCATGATTTCAGGTTCAAATCATAGCACATTTATATCTATCTCCTGTCGAAACCAAGGTGGCTACGAAATAGGAAGCCTAAAAGTTTCTTGGACGGTTAGACGTGTGCACTTCGGATGTCTGTTCGGACAGAATAGCTACTGCGCGGAACTAAGGAGCTCTTTTCGTTTAACACCCTCTTCTAATACGGCATGCCTCATAAATAACTATAGTTTAACTTTCTTGTAGCCTTTTTTCAGGGGTTGCCAATGATAAATGCAGGAGCGAAGGAACCCGTCAGAAACACAAGTTTTTTTTTTATACAGAAGGCAGATTAAGATCATGAATCATACTTGAATGTACTTTTCAGTTGAAAGTACTAAAGTTGAGTGTTCTAAACACGACAGAAAGGTACAATCTTTATGTTCTTGATTTCGGAAGTGCTGGTCCAAAATATGCCGACCACTAATAAAACGCGTTTTTTTCGCATGTTTATGGACCTCAACTTCATCTCGGCCATAAAATTGCAAAAAATGAACTCGGCCAATATCCATTGCTTCCGTTGCTTGTCAAAATTTGTTGTTATTCGAAGGGAAATCACTGTGTCAAAATTTGTGTTCACATGTCGCCGAACGAGAATTGTCGATTTTGCGGCTATATTGTTAAAGTTAAATACGGCTCATACCTGTCACCAGAAAATTTATTTAGAGCATCGAAGAGAAGTGATGCTTGTGAAGTAATTTTATCAGACGTGTGTGCTGAAATTGGCATCGAACTCATTCAAAACAACGAACAGTTATCCGATCGCTGTTGCAATCCGTGTGCTAGGAAAGTCAGAAACTTGGGACAGCTACATGCATTCATTCTTAAGAACGCAAATGGCCAATGTAAAAATCCAGAAAAGCCCAAAGTGCAAATAAGCCGCAATTAGATACGCCAAACAAATGTAGCCCGGCATAGAGGAAGAATAAAGCCGCTCGTATGTGCAACCATGCAACAGTGTTTCTTCGTGAGAAGCTGCTTGACTCGCACACCAAATCTAAAAAATAATGCTTTTACCGAAGCCTGTCTGTAAGACCGCCAACACATCTTTATTTCTGGAAAGTGACGTATGGCATCTTGCTGTTCTTGTTTTAAAACAAAGTTTTCTAAGACAGCAAAAGTAGCTAAAGAATCGTTCAACGCAAGATCTATCTCTTCTCCGCTAAACGCCATATTGGATGTGATACATAACAAACTGACGTCACATTCTGCTGTCAAGAAAAAAATGGACCAATCGGAATCGCCCGTTCGTGAGCGAACGGGTTATTCAAATTTTCAAGTACTGCTGGCAGGCGTTCCTTTCCCTAGCCCTAACCTCTCCCCCTCCCTCCACCTTCTAATTGTTCGCCTCGCTCCATTTTACGCGCGGTGTGGAAAATAAAACAGAAAGCCCAAAGTCCTAATTTTTGCCAAACTCCACAAGAACGCCTGCTCTGCAGGCTACTGAGCGACTAAATTTTTCGATTTCAAAATGAATTCGAATTGAGCAACGGATGTACAAGAGACCATCGCCTACAATTTTCTACGGATCACAACGCCGAATAGAACTATTCATGTTTAGTTCATGTGCATAAGACTGTGAAATTTTTTTGGTCAGATTAAGTTCTCTTTACCCCAGCATAAGAAAAGGCTTCATTATTTTTTAATCACTATCGGACCGCGAGTTGAAATTTTCGTCTATTTTTTTTTTTTTTTTTTTCATGTTCAGACATATTCTTTTGTAAAAAGGATATTTGCATAACCTCGTAAATTGAAGCGCGTGAAAAATGTTGTAGGCCGGCTACTTCCACTGCCTACTCTATTTGAAACTGAAAGGATGATAAACTTGTTCACGTCTTCAAAAAAGAAAACAGGCAAAACAAAAGTCTAAAAACTACAGACATGACTGATTACATTCAAATTATCACGACAGATCCTTCCAGAGCTCTTGCACATTAGTATGCACTCCTGAAAACTGAAGTAACTTGTTTTTATCAACTGGATTGATGGTGTAAATCACCCACCGTAAAGGGTTTCTAGGCTCTAACGTTTCGAGCGATGGCTCTTCGTCAGAGCGAATAGAGGAAATTGTGGGTTGTGTGGATGTGTTTAGATGAAGAAAATGGAACTGCACCATAAGTTGGAACCAAGTTTTTAGTCTCTTGCGCCAGGAACATGATGACGTGAAAAATAAGAATAAATCAGTTGTCTTGTGACCACTACACTACTGTGGTGGTCACCGAACAGTTAAGTCAATCTAATCAAAAGATAGAGCACCGCAAGCTCGCTTTTCGTATACCACTTACAAAGCCTCGTTCTAGTTTGCTAGCGCCAAGATCATTAGTCCTGGAAACTGAAAAAAATTGATGTTCCCTAACAGTTGATTTAAATACCAGAAAACAAAGGGAAAAAAGAATGGCAAGGGAGTACTATTCTCTGCTGCGATGCTGAAATACCTTATTATCATTTATTTTCGCGCGACTTTAATTTGGCGTATTTGGAATAGAAATATTTCGCGGGACTTAAAATTCGCGATTTTGACGAAACACCGTTTTTCAAGATAATTAAATTTCGCGAATCAAGTAACTGGTGCTCGCTTTTTAAACTCCATTTCTGTATTTTATTTAACCATAATGGAATAGAAACCTCCAATTAACACAAAAAACAACTGGCTGAAATGTTCTACAATGTCAGCAAGTTAGTAACACCTTTTAAAAGGGCTGATACAAGCAAGATGAGTCAGATGAACAGGAATAAGGGCATGTGTTGAACTGAAATTTGAGCCATCCTAGTCGTATGTAAACTCCTAGCAGACAGAAAGCTTAAATAAAGGATTTTATAAAGGTCTCAAAATTTTGCATCTTTACTTTTTGCGGCACCTTTTTTCACGGGACTTTAATTTCGCGAATTTTTTTAAATAGCGAAAATTAAATCTCGCTAAATAAGTGAGATAGATAGATACTTTATTGGTAAATACTTCGCAGCATGAACTGAATTGCGTATTCACAGATATAAAATAAAAATTACTATGTACATATATACATATTATTAAAAAAAAAATACGTAGTTCGTCGTAAGAGGGAACTTGTACATTATTTGTGGCTGTTGACTATTCTGGCCGAAGCAATAAAAAAACTGTTTTTAATTCTATTTGTCTTGCAAAGTGGCAAAGCAAAGGTACGCTCGTGCCTTAACCTATGAGAGCTTACATAGCGGGGTGGTAAAAGTTTGCTTAATTTGTGCTGAGGATTGTTCATTATGTTGCGAAAATGTTTCACTTTCACTCACCAAATACAAAATAAAGGCTTTATGTCAAGACTTTGGTCTGTTTATAGNGCCACTTAAACTGTGTAGATTATTTGAGACAATTGGTCACTAGCTGGATCTGATAAGCTTATTTGCAACAGTTGGGTTATTGGAACTGATTGTGTCATTCAAGGTAATTTAGTCATTTGAGCTGGTTGGGTCATTTGAGGCAGTTTTCCCTTTGGAAGTAATTGAGTCATTTGAGGCAATTTAGTCATTTGATCCAGTTGCATGGGTCGCCACTTGAGGCAATTTAGTCATTTAAGCCATTTGAGAAAGTTGGATCACTAGAATTGATTGGATCATTTCAGGAAATCAGTCATCTGAGGTGGTTGGCAGTAATGGCAGTTGAATAACTGAAACTGATTATAGCTCATTTGGGGCAAATAGGTGAGTGCAACCAATTGAGTTATTAAAGGAAATTCAGTCATTTGAGCTGGTTGGGTCATTGAATGCAGTTGGGTCATCGGACCTGATTAGGTCATTTACCACGATTCAATGAATCTTTTATGAAATATTTAAACAAAAGCAAAGGTGTGGTTGACTTAAGAAATAGTAATGCTAGATGCATAACATGTGGTAAGATGAGCGTAAGGTAAAAGACTAAGGTTACAAATAAACATTGGTTGCAATAAATGAGCCATCAAAAATCTAGTAGAGTTAATCACCTCTCAGCATTCGACTTACCTTTTCTCTTGCTAATTTCTTTTCTTTCTTGCACCTATTACAATTCACAGGGAATTTTAGGCAGTTCCCATAATGGTCTTAAAACAGGGGGAATATGTTAGGGACTGACTCAATTAAGTGCCTCAATACTGTTATGATTAAAAGTCAACTGAAACAAGCAATTGTCAGAATCTTCCACTTTATAACTTAAAACAATTTACATGTTAGCTTTCCTCCAAAACATTGTACTGCTGAACCTTTGGGGAGAGCTGGATTCCATTAAACTTTATCTTTATAATGTTGGTTTTCATGAGTTTTCTAGTCCCTTGTAGAAATCCAGTATATTCTAAGTATACTTCAAATGTCACTTAAAATTATACTTCATCTGTACTTTAAATATACTTTCATTATCACCATCATCACTGCCAGCAAATTAAAACCTTCACCTTTAATGAAGCAATTCAGTCTATCTCTGTATTTTCTCTGTACACAGGTAATTGATGCCGTCTTCTCTCAATTTGGACATTTAAAAACAATTTTGTTATCAGTGCTTAGGCCCAGAACACCTCATTCTAGGTCCAGACTTAAAATATGAGCAGTGAGGCCCCTTTCTCTGCCATTGCAATGCTGGACAAACCTCTAATTAATATTCCACTTCATGTCTTTATTGCAGTGTTTGCAAGGAGTTGCTCTGTTTGGACATTCTTTCTCCAGATGTTCTTTCAGGTCCTTCCTCTCCATTTCCTTTCCACACTTTTTGGGACACTTTTCAACTACAAAGTCACATTCATTCAGATGTTCCTACAATTCAAAATGAGAATTAATGCATGTAGTTCCTACAGAAACTGTTGTGCTTTGTTGGTGGGCAACAGAAATTCTTAAGCAAGAAATATAGTGTACAGCTTCTCTGCTGGAAAGAGAGCTAAGACTATGTCTACCTTTGCTTCTCTAAAATCAACTTCATGTTGATAAGTATCAGAAATGTAGATGTAGACATGTCTTCCTACTGGCATGCAATGATTACATTATACGTCCCCAAAAAGGTAATCCATTCTTCTTCACCGTAAGTTAATGGGCTCACCTCCTAAACTAAATTTTAAACATCACCTTCTATTTTTAGGGCAAATTCTCAAACACAGGTACTGAATGCAAGCCCTAGCTGTTGAGTGATAATAGTGTGGTTCTTCATCACAAGAATTTATGCTCATACAGTCCTGATACCTGTAGCTTGCCAAGCTTTAATTCCCTTCCATGTACAGTCGCGTTGCTTTTTCATGCAACAGAAGACAGCTTGATCCATCATTTCACGCTTTGCAAAGTTGTCAGGATAAAGCTGAACAGAAAATCAGTTGAACTCATTATGCATAATGCCCTCAGTGAGCACAGAGTACATTTCTAAAAGTGGTTTATAGCAATAAGTAAAATCATCTTTCATTTTCACTTTCACACCTCTGTGCTGAGTATTTACTTGAAACATTTCATTGTGTTTCTAATTAATTGACACATAAAAATTCTCTCATCATTTTGAATCAGATTTTTGGCATTTCAATAAAAAAATACTCAAGGGAAAGTTGTTTAATTAATCAATGGTTTCATTTTTGGTTGTTTATACAAAGCACTGTTTTAAAGGATGTCCACTGATCCCAGACATCCTATCTCAGCCATTTACATTCTGCTGTTTCAATTATTTGATCACCCAATGTCAATATTTAAAATGTGAATTGGTGATGTAAATTGTTCAGAGATGTTTGTACATAGCAACTTGCTCATTAAGTGGCAAACTTGAGCCATCTTTTTGTTCTTCTGTAAATTTTATGTCAAGACTTCTCACCATTAAAAGTCTTAAGCTGAATGGTGGCCATTCTTGGATGAATAGTTTACCAAGTGCAGACAACAAGATCCCCTTGGGGCATGTTATTATTTAACCACTTGGCTGATCTTTTTCAAGCCCTGAGTAAAAATTCACAACTACACATTTCATAAAGATTCTACCTCCTCGTCAGATAGAGAGTAGAAGATAGTAGTCAAGGTATTGGAATGTCATCATCCAACCATGCTTGAACTAAAAATTGATGTTGAGGAACTTATTTTTATTAAGCAAAGACAACAAAGGAGACAACCACCATGAATGGTGCTATGAGAGGACTGAGTCAAAAATGTCCTTTACTGTAGCAAAATTCAAGAGTTGAGGTCAACATAGTTAGAAGTCATCTACACACCTAGTCATTGTTGATTCTCAATGATTAACTGATTATTCACACAAATCATTCTTAGATTTCAGGTATTCTATTGTTTAGACTTTCAAGTTATCTTCAGTCAGGTGGAACACTTAATTAGTATGCAAATTACACCACAATCAGTGCATTAGGATAAGATAAACTTGATTGCAAACTCTGCAAGCACTATAAAGGCATAGCTAACCAACAATGCAGGTTAAATAATCAGCAGTATAGCCTTCTTTATATTTAAGTTGCAACAATACTAAATAATTTGTCCTTGTCTTATTGCACAAACCAATGCATTGCTAAGTGTCTAAACTCAAGGATAAGCAGGGAATTGACATCTAACCAATTATCTGCAGTATCTTGGTTGAGCTGTTGGCAGACCATATGGACATTCAACAAGCACTGGAGTGGGAGAGTGTCAACTTGATAAAAACCATCCGGCCAATTACTATTGGTTGCCTTTGACCAACCATCAACTAATGCATAGCTCAACTGCTGACCAATAAGTCCACTATCACCATTCACCGCACTTACATTATTGCAACGGTAATTCAGAATACTTGTACAAAACCTGTGATTCACTTAGGTGCTCATTGTCAGTACTGGGCATTTGGGGCCGGCTTCCCTATTAATAATAATGAAAAACAGTGTTGTAAAACTGACTTTGACTTATCAAGCAACAAGATCTTGACTCATCTTCTGGACACGAAAGGTCATGAGGTAGAGCTAACTAGTGCTCCCAACAAAAAAATTAAATTGCAGTTGCTTTATAACAAACCAGTTACATCGATATCTAAGGAAAATTAAATGCTTTAACTTAAACTTAAACTTACATGGACCCAGATTGTTAATTACAAAATGTTTCTGTTATTTTCCTCACTAAATAATTCACTGTGATGGGGTACACATCCACATTTTTGGTTAGCCTTACAAAGAGGCCCATGTGTCAGACAAAAAAAAATTAATAATCTAATTTTTTCCAGAAAAGGTGTAAAAAGGAACTAAAACGAAATATCAGCTCTTCAGCCCTCTTCTATTATGTGATGTCATATTCATTCTACAAAATGATTTTTAAAATCCCGACCCAACATATTTCCTTCTCAATTCCCCTGGTAAGTTTCACCATGATAAACAACATCTATACTTTTGGTTATGCTTGGCAGGAAGTGCATGTGTCTCATACAAAATGTGATAATCTTATATTTTTATCTCAGATTGTATAAGGAATGTGCAAAAGATAAAAGCAACACAGAGGAAACCATTTGAGTATACCTTGCGACCCACAAAAAACGAAAATCTGTAGCGTTTCGTCAAACACGAGAAATGGAAAAAAAAAAGCGCAGTTTAGCTTATTCAGTGCAGCCATTTTGTTGCTCCTTATTAATTTTTTTAGTGTTGTTGTTCTACAGTGCCATGGCATACTTTACTTAGTTCTTAATAACCGAGCGAAAGGTCTAGATAGATGGATAGATAGATAGATAGATAGATAGTTAGATAGATAGATAGATAGATAGTTTATTAGAATATCGCACATGGCATTCCGTAGACTGAATTGCGTTACAATTACTTAGAACTAGGAATAAATAAATTCCAGATACAAATTGAAATTGTAATAAAACCATAAATCCGAAAAACTCTCTATATATGACTATGTACAAACTAGTCTAAAAAAAAAAAAAAAATTTATGTACACATACTTGGAATAAAAGTGTTCTTTAACGATTTGTATGTGTACGGGGCATGGCATGAGCCCTGGACTGTCTTAGATTATATCTGTGTTCTCTCTTAGGAGGTAGGACACGCACGAGTTTGTGATCAGGGCATGACTTGATAGACTCGAAAAGCTTGCTACACAGAGCCACGCGTCTCGCGTGCAAGGTTACTAAGTCGAACCTGGCCAAACATTCGAAATATGACGCATAAGGACAAATGATGGAGAGCGCTCTCATTTGCACTCGTTCAAATGTCGTCATTAAGATACTGTGGGAGCACGTGATGGAAAACTGGCGCACAGTACTCTAAAACAGATCTTATCACGGTGCAATAAAAATTTATAATGTCGCTCAGTGGAACGTTGGCGCGCTTTAGAAGAACAATAAAATAAAGACGCTTGTTCGCTTTCTTCATGCACTCTGAGATATGTTCGTTCCATTCTAAATCTGTATGGGAGAATCTTGACCAAGGTCGCCAGTACAGACTGAACGCAGTGAGGTCTGTACCAGCGACGGAAGTCAAGATAATCTCCCATACAGACCGACCTAGCTCGGTTAATAAGATATTGTTTATTATATGGCTGTGTCTTACATGTCAATTTTTTTATATTCTTTGTACCTTTTTTTCCTAGACCGGTCTACCCTGCGAGCAGAGCCTTTTCTTCTTCTTTTCTTCTTCTTTTCTTCTTTTTAACCCTTTTTCCCTTTTCGATTCGAGGACGGGTTAAAAAGGCTCTCCTCGCAAGGTATGACCGGTCTAGATGCCGGTCTAGACGGGAAAATCTAGACCGCTTTCAATATTGATTTCAGCCCATCAAATTCGTGAATTCAGTAGTTCCCAGTCCTTGTGAGACACAGCCATATAATAATTAACAATTATTCCACGAGCGCGCGTTGGATATGAGATGATAGATAGCCAACGAGGCGCGTAGCGCCGAGTTGGCTATAATCACCTCATATGGAATCTCAGTGGAATAATTGTTTTATTGAAAACGCTGCATTAAATTATTAAATTTTATTAAATTTTTAGCTCCCTTTTAATTTTAAACTTACGCGTACGCTCACCATATCGTAGTTTATGGTCTATTGGCTCATGGCTAAGCCAATGAAAAGTCTTGAATTGCATTATCCAATGATCCAGTTTTTAATAATAACACTTATCCCATTTTTAAGGAATTACAAAAAAGTTTTCCATTAAAAACATTTGGCCTTCCTCCTAATGTATTAAAAGAAATTATTTTATTGAGAAATAAGCTTCATTCTTGCAACAGTAGAAACTCTGATATCTATTATTTAGTTCATGCTCGAACTAATATGAGATGATTTGCCATAAAATTTCAGGGACCAAAATAATTATATTCACTTCATCACGATAAACAAAATGTCCCTACTGACTCTATTCTCAATTCTAGACCAGTACAAGCATTTCTCCTTTCCTGATTTTCTTCAAGTAGATATAGTTTACTGTGTAGGTGTGTTTGTATTTTAGAATATTTTTTTCTCTATTGTTTTTTTTCTTTTGCCCTTTTTCTCTTGTTTTCCCTTTTATCATAACTATGTTTATTTAATAATAGTCCACGCGTGAAAAGTGTAGTTTTAGTCATAGGGGGATGCTCATAGTCATAACTCCATGGTTTCCAACTGAGCTCCCCGGCAATTATTCAATGTCTTTTTTTGAACAGCTTCTGTTTCTATTTCTAATTCATAAACCGGGACGGGATCAAATAGAGCTTTTCTCAAATCTAGTTTAAGGATTCAACAACACTCGACACTCGATTTTGTGAACGGTATCTCACGTAATTAAGCGCATGTGCAAAAATGACGTGTTCTATGCGAGACAGTGTAGGCAATAATTTAGTTCTGCAAGTCGCCTTGATAGACCAGGTCCTGGGTGATACCTACAGACAGCCTTCATTGATGACGAAAATTCAAGTAGGCTTTATCAAGGTGGTTTTTTACCATGTCGCATCAACTAAAGGAATC